GACGCTGGTAATGCGTTTGTCGATGATTCTAGAGCGACTGCAGAATGGAATCTGTTTGCAGCCGTTAGGCTTAACCGTCTTAGACTTATATCCTATAAAATACATTTATTTTAATAAAGATATGCTACGGTAGCTGAAAGCATTCATACAGAACCCGCGATTTACGTATAGACTTATAACCAAATTTAAAACGTATAGAGGCTTAGGGTCGCAGACCAGGTAATTTTTATAGGAGATGGCGTTTTGGTTAATGGAATCGTAATTGTATTCTTCCAGGCGTTCGTGCACCTGCAAGAATCCAAAGTAAGGTGTAAAACTTCAGTAAAAAGCAAGCAACCATTATAAAGACAGGAAACAACCACCTCAGAGGAAAAAGATGCAGTCACTGGAAAAAGAGTATTATTTTCTTAACGTTTCGAATTCCCACCGGAGTCATTAATCATAGGTGACGATAACATAGGCATGAACATGCGCAGATGAGGTGGATACATGCACAGGCTGCATGGTATTTATAGTTCCAAGTGGTCATCCACGCATGTGTGATAATTTTTCATTTCTGTAGCCCCCGCTTGGGTCTTAATTGATTTGATGGACTCACTAATTGCCATGTCAGCGTCAGGTGCTGGCCTGATAATTGCGTGGCAATTATGCCCGCTGTAATCATAGTTGTCGCTGCGTCCGGTTCTTCCCACGTGTCTGATTCTCTTGCTGATTAAACGTCTCAGTACACCGTATGGGAACGCCAAATCGTTGCGCTTGTTGATGCACTGGTGGCCTGAGAGCCCTGACTGCAGCAGCTCGCGGCTCACGCGGTTGTCGCCTCTTGCAAGGATTTCTGCCTCGTCTGGCCGGGTCTCGTCGAGTGAGCTGCAACCTGGGAGTTGGCGTCTCTCTTTCTCAACGCCGCTGCATGCTCGGCCATTTGCGTCCGGAGTAATATTCCGGTTTTTCTGACATAGTTGCTCTGTCCACAACTGCACCAGATCCGGTTAACGATTCCAGCCATTTCCTGCTGTGGCAGTGTGTCTTTCGTATCATGTTCATGCGTCTGATGAGTGCTTCTAGCCTGTGAGCAACTGCAACATCAAGTGGAGTGAGTAGACGGCT